ATGAGCGAAACTCGAGAATGATGCGTCCGAATAACATGCGAACGAAGCTTGCGAGCACAATCGAAGAGAACTCCACACCAGAGACACTTCCAAACTTGACGCTCCTCAGCCTCGGCCCGACGGAGAGGGTGCTCAGGATCCGTAACTGCAAGCGGTTTTCCAGCATCTCTCAAGACTGCAAAAATAGCATGCTCGGCTGCGCGCGACAACGCAAGTCGGCGAACATGTCTGGCGTGCGATGCCAGTGTGCCTCTGATGATGTGCTTCCAAGCTGGGGCTGAGCGTCGAACTAGCATTTCCCAGATGCGAAGGTCCTCGGAGGGGTCGGGGAGAAGGTGACATTGAGCATGACACGTCATAACCCACTGCAATTCCTCGATAATCTGATGTCCCCAAGACAAGTGGCATTCTAGCCTGCACGTCGTAGCCAAAGCAAGAATGTGCGGTGGACCATGGGTCAGAAGTCGCCCGTAGAGCCGAAGTCGTTGAGTGCTGAGAAGGGCACCCAAAGAGGGCTTGAGGACCTCTCCCAAGATAGCCTGGTTGGTGAGCGCGGAGGGGTCCCTGCGAGGCCGCTTGGCGATAGCCAGATAGTAGCGTACCATGCCGTCCTCAAGGATCCGGAACTGCGCAGCAGATAGATATCCCCACGTGCTCGCTTGAAAAAACTTACCAGAACAGACCAGCGAGTCGAGCAGGACGATGGCAGCATCAGGTTCAATGCAGGGCTGGCGAAGTATGCGTCGCCGCAGGCACGACCATGCACTGGCACGCGTCTGCGATCTGTGAGACAGCTCAGGGTCCATGGAACAGTAATCATATTGTGTCGTACCAAGGTGGGTGTACGGATGAACTGCATGTATTTTGAGGGTACCCGCCTTCTCCGTGGGAACCTGAAAAATGCCGCCTAAATCGGACCACAGGGTCTTCTTAGCACGCGTGGCTTCAGGGCCCCGAAACTGGAACAGAAACGCTGATTTACCAACCTTGGTATTCAAGCAGAAACCCCTCTCCGCGAAGGAATCTGCGACTTCTGCCGCCAGTATAGGAGCGATGGTAAGTAGCTGCTCTGCTCTGCCGTGCAGAAAGAAAGCTGCGTCGTCAAAGACAGTGCCCTCTAGAGAGTGCGCCGTGCGCGAGGGAGCGTCCTCAGCAGTATACTTGGCAAGCGAAGCACGTGCAGCCGTCGTCATACGTAAAACAATGCTGAGCGGAAGGAGACCCGATAGAACCGACTGCATCGTAGACGACATGACGAAGTTGAAAAACGACGTCCCCGAGCTGCTGAGGAGGGAGGAGGGAGGAGGGGAGGAGGGAGGACAAGGAGGAGGATGTGGACGGGGAGGAGGGTGGAGGTCTTAAACATGTGCTCTAGAACTTGGGATGTTTGCCAAGTATTTCGCGACCACCGCGTGATTATTGTTGGTTATGCTGGCGACTGACTGGTGCGATGCAGCGACATGCATCAGATGAATGAATCGCTCCGACGGCAGGATATCAGCAACTCATATGCAATTGACGATTTAATGTTTTTGATTGCAAGGCCACCAAGGCGGCGCGCAGGACAGAATGAGTGTCAGCGCGAGCAAATGCAACTGAGGTGGGGCGCTTGCGCAGTTGTCGTTGTGCCACCGCCGCCGCCGCTGGTCGCTTGCGTAAATGCTTGGCGCTGCTAGGCAAACGGCCGACGTCGTCGCTCGTGCCTGCACGCATCGCCACGCGCCGCTTGGGCATGATGTTGGGCGGGTGTACAGACAAAACGCAGAGCGTAGCCTGGAGCAGCTCACGCTCGTCGTGATGCTTTGTCAGAGGTGACTGTTCCTGGCCTGCCCCGCCAGGAGTTTGGCAAAGGTGAGATCCGAAGTACCTGCGCGCGCATTGCGCCCAGATTGAAGAATGATGGTGCGGAACACATCGTTTTACGGCAAACGCCTAGCCTCGCTTCCCGCCGTTCCATGCATCACCCGGGCGTCTAAGTTGCGCGGGATAAATCTACCTGGGTGTAAAACATTGCCAATCTGGATAGGTGAAGTTACAAATCGCAAGCTTCCAAACACAGCGGTGTGCTAGCCATTGCTTTGCCATGTCTGGTGAGAATACCTTGCGCAAGGCCGCGATGTCCTGAGCAAGCGACGCAACATAACTGTAAGCCCGCTCGGAATAGCCATCGGCACCAGTCGCCATCTCAATGACCTTTGACGGCGCACCCATCGCATATTCCACAAAAGTGCACCGATTCCCCCTTTCTTAACATGTTCGTCGTAAAGGCCCGCATCTGGAATCAAAATCAACCGACATTGCGCAGAACTTCCCTTGTTTATGGGGCCCATAGGGAGGCCCAGAGGGCGTCTGCATGGCGGTGTGATTTCTGAACGTGTGTTTCCGCAGCCGAAGTCAAACTCGAAACGTACATGTCCCTTCGTGGGTCCACCGGAAAACCACAGGCCTTGCAAACGTATTTCCCTGTGCGTTAGCCTCGTGAAATGATTTTGCATTCGGCTGGCCCTGCAAAAAAGATTACGTTTGTAACGGCCATAAGTGGTGGGCTCTCACAAGGATTTCGACGTGTGGCGGCTTTACAGAACGGGATTCTTTTTTGGTGGCCTTACAACCGGATTTCCGTTGTGGCATCGTTTAGGCATGGTTATCACTGCGTTTGCATTGCAGAAGGGTTTCTTGCTCTAGCGGCCTTCTAACCCGATTCTCCTTGTGGCGGCCTTGCAAAAGGATTCCTTTCGTGGCGGTCTATCAAGATGATTTCCTTTTGTGGCGGCCTTGGAAAAAAAGGATCCCTTTTGTGGTGGACTTCCTGTTTGAATGCTGCTATTTGTTCAATCACGTTTGGTGCCACAGGCTTAACACATGTAAAAGCACAGCCTTTGCGGCAACTGGAACTTTCAAGTGCTGCGTTTGCAATGCGTTTGGTATCGGATTTGAGAGCAGCATTGTTTAAACAAAACGAATTTTGGAACTCCGATGTCAAATAACGTCGTATGTTAAAGCGCTTTGGAACTCCGATGGCTGAAAAAGGTGTGATTTGCAGCGTTTGGGAGCTCCGAGTGTTGAACACGCGGTGGATTGCAGCGTTAGGGAGCTCCGATTGTCGAACACGCTGTGTTTTTTCATAGTTCCCAATTTCCAGAACCAGAATGAGTGAAAACACACCGATCTTCACAATATTACGTTTTTGTGTTATCGTTTTTTTCGGCTTCCTCCTGTGCCACTCACAAAAGAGAATCCGATCGCAAGGCCACCACACAAGGAAACAGCCTAGTATTACCGCCACAGAGACATTCCTGATGTAAGGCCGCCACACAAGGAACTCGCTTGCAGGGCCGCCACGGAAAGACATCCGCTTGTAGGCCGTCGCAACAAGAATTTGATTTTGGAATGGCTGTCGCACAGGACATATCCGATAGGCTTACGCCGCATCCGCCGACCCTATATAAACTATTTTGCCTCCAGGAGTGCATGTCGCGAGGCTTGTCCGAATCATGACACGGCGATCGACATTGTTCCTGTTGCTTCGTTGCTATTCTCGTACCTCTTGGTGCTCTTTTGTGGCCTTTCGGTGGCATCTTGGCCTGTCTGCAGGCCATATCTGGCCGCCTCGAGGCATCTTGGGCCAAGGTTTGGGGTCTCTTGGGGGTTTCTTGGAGGCCTTTGAAGTTCTCTTGGGGGTCCCTCAGGGCCTCTTGGGGTGTTCTTGGGGCAGGCTGGGGGCGTCTTGGGGCCGAAGGCTCGAACAGGTGCCCTCTCTTGGGGGCTTCGTGGGCTGTTTTGGACCCTCTTCGACCCGTCTTGGGGGGGCCCTTCGGCCGTCCTGGGGCGATATTACAGGTTTCTTTGCACGTCTTGGACGCTGTGAAAACCGAAAAGGCGAGTATGCGAAACATGTTGTTTTTTCTTCCAAGGGAATGAGACGATTTTCGTTTCTTGGGGACCTCTTTGGACGCAATTTGGGGACCTTTTGGGGCGTCTTGGCAGCTTCGGAGGCCATTTGGAGGCCATCGTGGGCGTCAAGGAGCGACATTTCGGCGACTCGTGGCCCTCTGGGACCGTCTGGGTAGCTCTTTGGTGCCTTCTTGGCCCGTTCTGGAGCCATCCGCTCCCCCATGACACGGTCGGTCCGGGGCTGGGCCGGGCCAGGGGGGGGGTCAAATTGCCGGTTTGGGGTCATTGGCGACTCTTGGCGGGGGGATTCTGGGGGCGATATCTCACACGCCTAGAGACACACAAGGGGTCGGCGGATCTTGGCAACGCCGCCACGAAATTTTGCGCATGAAATTGCCGGGTGGGTTTGCATGCAATGTTCCAGGGCACTTGCTCCAGCCCCTTACCGGGGAGGACGAGGATGAGGATGGGGAGGGAGGGAAGAAGGGAGGAAGGGAAAAGGGAGGAGGGAGAAGGGAGGACGAACAGCGGAAGACGGAGGAAGGAGGATGGAGGAGGGAGGAGGAGGAGGAGAGGAGGTAGGAAGGAGGAGGTGGAGGAGGAGGGAGGAGAAAGAGGAGGCGCAGGAGCAGGAGGAGGAGGAGGAGGGAGGAGGGAGGTGGGAGGAGGAGGGAGGGGGAAGAGGGAGGAGGGAGGAGAGAGGAGGGGAGGGAGGAGGGAGGAGGGAGGGGGGAGGAGGGAGGGGGGAGGAGGGAGGAGGGAGGAGGGAGGAGGGAGGAGGGAGGAGGAGGACGAGGACGAGGAGGAGGACGAGGATGAGGAGGAAGAGAAGGAAAGAGGAGGAGGAGTAGGAGAATGAGAAGGAGAAGGAGGAGGAGGAGGAGAAGGAGGGAGGAGAGGAGAAGGGAGGGAGGAGGAGAGGACGAGGAGAAGGAGGAGAAGGAGGAGGAGGAGGAGGAGAGAGAAGGAAGAGGAGGAGAGGAGGAGGAGGAAGAGGAGGAGGAGGAGAAGGAGGAGGAGGAGGAGGAGGAAGAGGAGGAGGAGGAGGAGGAGGTGGGAGGGAGGGAGGGAAAGAGGGCAGGAGGCGCCCGTCGCGGGGCCGCCAGGAGCACAATTTCTGCCCGTGCTGCGGGAAGCGGCTCACCCTTGGAGCCGGTGGCGGCGGAGGCGGCCGCCCCACCTCCCCGCGGGTTTCTCCTGGGCCTAGGTCCGAGGCCCGAAAACCATCACTTCACTAATTTTGGGCCCCAGGGCCCACTGAGGCCCCAGGGGCACCAGATTAGTGAAGTGATGTCCCGAAGTTCATCACTTCACTAAACCGAACCCAGGACGAAAGTCAGGAGCCGAATTGCTGCTGTGATGCCACATCGGCCTCGTACTAGGTGCGGCGAGGCGGGGCCGGAGTGGGCACGGAAACAATGGGTACAAAGCCCAACAGCAGTTGCCGACGTCGCGGCGGTTGTAGTCTTTTGGGCGCCGCGTAATGGGGGGGTCATAAATGGGGGGTTGGCGAGGGTGGTTCGAAAAGGTACCCAAACGGTGCCTAAACGAGCCCCCTGGGGCTCTGGAGGGGCCCAAAAGGGGCACGAAAGGGGACCTTTTCTGACCCCCCCATTTGTGACCCCCCCATTAAGCCACGTCCAAGTCTTTTTGAGGCAGAAGGCCGCGTGCCCAACAGCGGCCGTTGTCCGTTTTGAACACCGCGCGTTGTTGGGCATGGTGCCCATGTCTTCCGTACCCATCTCTGGCGTCCAGACCATCGGGAACGGCCCAAACCAAAGGGGTGATGTGATTGGGGGCGATGTCGTGGCCAGGGCAATGACATCTCCCCAGATGTCATGGCGCCTCTGGTCATTTTAGCACAGTGCCGTTTTTTGTACATGCTCCGCGTGCGGATCGTGTATTAGAAATAAAGGGATCCAGTATCAAAAACAATGATGAATTTATGCACTGATTGATTTGTAAAATAATCATCATCATATAGTTTTAGAATCCTATGTCTTAAAAACTGCCCTGTACGTCCCTGGGCCTCCCTCGGGCCGCACGCGCGCCCCGGGCCATGTCTTGCGACCCTCCTCTCTTGGACGCCCCCCTCTCCGACGCCCCCCAGAGCAGCAGAGGGGCCCCCAGAACGGTGTGGTACAGTCGGGGCGCTGAAGAAGGAACCCTTTGCGTTGGGGAGGGGCTCTGTGTTCCTTATTTGATTCGCAGCTTGCCTTGGGTTTTCTTTTGTCTTTTTCTATAGGAAATCGAAGCGCGTGCTGAGCCACTGGGGATTCGGGGTCGCCGCACGGTTTCGGGACTCGGGTCGTGTTTGGATCGGGGGGCCCGACCGGTGAGGTGACCACACCGCGTGGTAAGTGAGTCCTGAGCCTTGGCTTTCGGGCGTTTTCTGTGGCTCCTGGAAGTTTTCCTGCTTCGGGATGCGCTCAGCAGCTGCGCCTCGCCGAGAGCGTTCCTGGGGGGCCCAGATCGTCCTGAACGGCCGCCAGAGACCCATGATTTTTACCGTAAACCAAGCATTCGGAGGAGTGTTGGTGTTGTGTGAGGCAGTGGGGATTCGGTCACCGCGCGGTTTGGGGATTTGGGTCACTCTCCGAGGACGTCTCGGGCAACCGGGGCCTCCGAGGCCCCAACACTGTGCGGTGGCGGACCTCGCGGTGAGGTCCTTCGGGACTTCGAAGTCACCGCGCGACCTGCCTCGCCGAGGGCGCTCCGGGGGTGCCCAGGAAGCTCCGAACGGCCGCCAGAGAGCCGAGGTATGACCCGAGCACCGATTTGTGGTTTGGCCTGTTCGAGAAGAGAAGCACGATGACCGTGGCCACGATGTCGCGGGATCTGGTCGACGCCGATTCGCCAGGATGGTCCAGGCATCGACGGTTACCATAGTGGGCGCTGGCCCAGATCGGCACACCGACGTTTTCGCACTCAGTCTTGATTATGGTCATCGTCTTCTCTCAGGAGGGGAGAACACACACAGACACAATTAATCGGCGATTCCCCGAAAATATTGGAAAATATGGGAAGTGGGGGGGAAGACGGAAACCCAGAAAATATGGGAACATATGGGGGATATTTTTATTTGTGTGTATTTATTTGTGTGTCCCAGTTCCCCTTCATTCTCCCCCTGCAGAAGGGGTGGACGGGGGGGCAGGGGCCTCGGCATCCTTGCGCTGTGAAGAGCATCGCGGCGGGAGGGTCTCGCCGCGTCCGGCTGCCCGGGCCCCTCGCCTGGCCCCAGGACCGTAAACGCGGATCCGGGGCGAAACACGGGCAGCGGGGAGGGGGTGCAGACTTTTGGGGGTGGTGCGAAAAAACACGACGTCGGGGGACATGGGAAGGGGATCCGGCAGGGAGAGGGAGAGAGAAGGGAGGAGGAGGCAGACGAGGGAGGGAGGGAGGCAGGGGGAAAGGAAGGAGGACGAGGACGACGAAGATGGCGAGGCCCAGGCCGCCGAACGAAGGCCCCCGATCGCGGGAGGGATCGTGCAGGAGTCGCAGAAGAGACAGCGGCGTAAGCCCGACAGATAACAGGGTGCGCCTGCCGCGGCCAGCCTGGGCGAGAGCTGGAGGTGCGTGTGTCAGGAGGGGAAAAACACACAGACACAATGAATCGTCGATTCCCAGGAAAACATGGGAAGTGGGGGGGGGAGACAAAAGCTCAGAAGAGATACAGGAAAATAGAGGGGGAACTCTCTTCTCTCTCTGTGTGCATCTCTATCTGTGTGTGTCCCAGGGCCCCTTCAGTGTGGCCAGGTGCCCTCTCCTCCTCCTCCTCCTCCTCCTCCTCCTCCTCCTCCTCCTCCTCCTCCTCCTTCTCCTCCTCCTCCTCCTCCTCCTCCCCCTCTTCTGTTTTGTGCCCCTCCGGCGCTCGGCACTTCTGCGTCACTGCACGCGGGCTGCTGCACCGGATGCCCAGCGGCCGGCCTCCGGACGCCACGGGCGGGGCGGCCGCCGTGCGCGCCTCCCCAGGGCGCACCCCTCGCCGCGCCGGGGGCCCCGCCGCCCGGCCAGGTTCGCCACGGGCTCCTGGCCAGAGGAGGAGGAGGAGGAGGAGGAGGAGGAGGAGGAGGAGGAGGAGGAGGAGGAGGAGGAGGAGCGCGCCTTGGGCCCTTGGCATCGCTCGGACGTGTGCATTTTTCCTTCGGCGAGGACCATCGAGGAGCATCCTTGGTCATTTCGCGAAAAAAAAAAACACGCACGAAACCGAAGCTGACACAGGAAATGGACGTCGGCCAGGGCCAGGGGCAGTCGGGCCGGACGAAAGGGGGGTGATGACGAGGGGGGGGTGGATATCATGGCGGGGGCCATGATATTTCCCTGGATTTCATGGCGCCTCTTCTTATTTCATTGCGTCTCTGGCCCCCCCGCTGGGCCGCGCACATGCCGCTGGTCATGATTTGCACCCCCCCCATTTGGACACCCCCCTCTTGGCCGCTCCCGAAGAGCGCGCCCTGGGCCCTGGGGCAGTCGGGCCAGACGAAAGGGGGGGGGGGGCTTGGGAAAGGGGGGGTTCCTCGGGGGTGGACAGACCTCCTACCAGTGACACGTCGATAAGGAATTGTCCGTTTTCGGTTCTCGAGAGGGCGCCGAAGCCGTTGTTTTCCAGGCTTGCGCCCGCCGGGTTTGGGCGTCAGGTCGTTTTCACTAAACCACGTTTTACTAAAGGGGGGTCTGTCCATCTCCGAGGTTACGAAATCTGCTGCGTGCAGCTGGTTTCGGCCTCACCGAGGGGCCCACTGCTCGATGCATGGGCGCCTCCCGGCGCCGGGAGGCGCCGGGAAAGTCAGCTACGTGAGGTGATTCTCAAAGCCCCCCCTTTGCTATCCCCCCCTTTCGCCCGGCCCTGGGACAGGTCTGTGGAGCAGCAGCGCTGGCGTCTCTCAGAGGAGGGCGACCTGAGCCGTCCGTAGGTGCCCGTCGGTAGCTGCTCAGAGCGAGCCCCGGCGCCAAGTGCCCCGCGGCCACCGCTGCTTCGCAGGCTCCGCGGGCCCAGGCCACCAAGCAAGGACCGCCAAAAGGCTGCCTTGACAGACCGACAGGATTTCAGCCTCCGTCGGAAGGAAGCCCGCGCCGCCGCACTCCACAGCAGGGGCGGCGTGGGCCGAGCCGTCGCTGCACACAACGAGAACTCGCTCACAAGCATCACAGTCAACGCGCCTAGTAAGGACGCGCGCCTTCATCTAGGATGCCCTTGCGTCTTTGCCACTGTGGCCCGCCCTTTGCCGTTGTCACTGGTCGCCGCCGCCCAAAAAAAAATCCCAGCTTCAGCCTCCAAGGGTCTTGCGTCCTCACCACGCGTCCTTCATATACGTTTTGACTGTAGGCTGCGCCGCCGCAGTCCAAAGCAGGGGTGGCGTGGGCCGAGCAGCCGCTGCGCACAACGAACTCGCTCACAAGGATCAGGCTGGCCCCAACATCACGCGCCAACAGTACCGCTCCGACCAAGGCAATTTAAGGGGCGAGATGGTGAAATGGCGCGGGGGGGGGGGACAACATCAGCTACGACATGCTGCATTATCCCCCCGCGCTCAAGAAGGGCTCCGACCGCGACTCACCACTGCTCACCCACACTCACCAGGACACTGGCACGGCCGAGCTCCTCAGCCCCTGTGCGCAAAATTGCGATGTCCCCGCCGACGCCACCCTGAACAGAGCGGAGCACGAAACGTCAAGCACCAGTCGCGTTTCCCTACGCACACTGAAGAGAATAACCGTCTCTCTTGCACTTGCGGTCCTGGGACCCGTCACCGCAAACTACATGGGGCAACTGGTTTGTTGGATACCTTTGCTCCGTAGGACGGGACGGCAACCAAACCCGCGCCAAATCACAGCCGCGGAACCATCTACCAATTCGGCAATGGCGGGGTCAAGCATCTGCAAGATGTCGCGCAATCCACCCCCGACATAGCTGAGCGTGGATCCGTGGAGCCATCTGCGATGCAGACGCTATCGCCGCCACTCCCGCGCACGTAAAACGCTTCACCGCCCAGTTCTCAAGCGCTGCCCCTGTCGCGGCATCCGATTCCCATGCGGAGGGCACGACGCAGCAGAAGGCGAGCGAGCGTCAAGGGTCTGTTGCGAGAGACATTGCGCGCCAACCGTTGGGCGACGACCCCACGACCGCCTTCGCAGCTGTCTTTCTCTTGCACGTCTGCGCTGTCCAA